CGGTTACATTATCACTCCTCTATCTATCTACTCTTTACACACTTATCCCACTGCCGCCCTATCACTACTTGTCACTTGTTTACATTCCACTCGTCAAAATGTGTGCCCTTTTGTGGCAAATCTAGTGTTGCCTCATCACACTTGCTATTTACCCCGATCCCTCTCTTTCGATCGGCTGATCCGACCCGGGCCTCCAATCTGGATCCCCTCATTGTCTCGTAGATTCGTTACTTATCTTTCTGGTTGACCGATTTCACTCGGTTTCAGTCCCTGTGTGAAAGCAGACTGTGACCATATCAGAGGTCACATCTTGGTCTTTATATCTTCAATTGCTAAGTATACTTTCGAATTGGAGCCACGCTCAAGCGACGAAGTAAAGCAACCATCCTTCTCGCTCAATCGGTCTTTGTAGAGCTTATACCTCGTAAGCAACGGCCGAAATCACGAGACCGAGCATCCAATCTGCAATTTGACAATCAGGGAGCCATCAAGAGGAGCGTAATACCTGAATCGGGACTCGAGGTTGTCCAATTTGGGTCTCTGATAGCCCTCGAACGAAAAAAACACAAATCATCCAGCAAGCGTCTTTCATTGAGGTTCAGGCGACTAGAACATATTGCACAGATCGACCATATATTCTTGAGGGCAAGTAATATATTCACCTCAGAATCGGTGCTGGCATGGCCCATCAACAAATGACTATGACAAATAGGAATGGTGTTATGCCGAGGCAGTTCCATGAGAACGACATTGACGCGCTGTAGACTTGTGGGAATCTGTCTGTAAATGGACGCCTGCCCTGGATTGGGGCACAAAGACGACTTCCATCAAGAATTGAGACAGCCCTAATTGTTGCCATACGAAAGCGACAACTGGTTTGTTTAAGGGAGGCTTGTAAGGCAGAAAAATGGTAGTCTCAAGTCACTGGGGTACAAAGTCATCTATCAAAGATCGAATAATGACAAAGCGATAACCATGACAACCGTTGAAAAATCACCTCGGGCTCTTGTGCAGCCGACAACGTAGCTGTCTGGACGTTTGAAATGATTTACACATGCCGCATCGGGATAGGGGCGCCCACATGAAGGGTTGTGTGCTTTTCCGATTTTCTGCCCTATCCCGTAAGTACACTCGTGCGTATTTGCTTTGCTATTTGTGTTTGCATTTGTGAGTGTAGACACACAGGCATGCCATCGTCTGTCTCTTCGTCGGTCCATTGTTTCGTCTGTGTGGCAGGCCTGAATAGATCTGCATGTTTGAGTGTGCGCATGTGCTCACACGCCTTGCGATAAGCAGATCTGGCAAAGATGAAAGAAAACCCGAGCACAGGGTAAACACATGTCAAGATTTGTGTTGTCGTATCCAAGTTGGTATGTCGACGAAACACTTACGGCTAGTTGATTGACTAAGTGTGGCAATTCTATTGACGAGTGTAACGGCTCCGTTCACCCCTTGGTCGTCGTTATGCCGACTTGGTTGAAGGGTGAACATGCCCCCTGTGTACCGGTTGATAGGGCGTGACAGACCAAAAGAGGCTGCCTTACGAGACGTCAGAACAACAGGCCAGGCTCATGGAGCCAGTCAACTCTCGCCAACCGGCCCACGTGGTCAGCTCAACAAGTCTATTGACGGCAGGGCGACTTAGCAACCAGAGTGGGCAGACCGTATCGGTTGTCGATGCGAGGGCATGTTGTGGGCTGGATGGTAGGCCTCGCGGCAACTGCATCATCCGGTACTGCAAACGGACAACGCTAGCTCGACTTAAGCCGCCTTTAGAAGTTGTTTGACCTGGTTTTCGCAACTTGGTTATGTTGGTAGGACGACTTATAGAAACGCACCTTGTCCTGAGTCCATTGTATGCATAATTATTTCCAAGGTCGGACCGTGGACGCGGTACATTCCCAGACGTTTTACCATATTAAAACTCGTCAAAGAGACGAAACGTCTGGGAATGTACCACGTCCACGGTCCGACTTTAAAAATGATGATTCGTACAATGGACTCCGGACAAGGTGCGTTCCTCCAAGTCGTCCTACCAACTC